GACCACAGGCCCGCCAGGGAGGGCAAGGGGCAGCCTCAGCCACGGCTGAGGAGAGCCACAGCCATGAAGGGGAGGAGACAGCTGGGTGGCAGCGGACAAAACCACTGTGTGCTTTCCGCATTCGCTGTATTGTGGTTGCAAATCCCTGAAACCTCAGATGCCAACTTTGCCATTACAGCTCTGAGCAGGAGGGGAAGCCTCTGCAGAGAGCACCCATGGCCACACTATCCTGCGGCCACCATGGCCATGCTGCCCCACAGCAACGCTGTCCCATAGCCATGCTGCCCCACGCCACTACGGCCATGCTGCCCCACCCCACTACGGCCATTCTGTCCCACAGCCACACTGCCCCGTGGCCACTACAGCCATGCTGTCCCGCAGCCACTGTGCCACTATGGACATGCTGTCCCAAAGCCATGCTGCCCCGTGCCACTACGGACATGCTGTCCTGCAGCCACGCTGTCCCACGGCCTCCTATCCAAGACAGGGCATCTTCTGAGGCCACTGACCCAGGGTCAGAAGAGGCCTTTTAGGGGGTGAGGCCTGGACAGTCATGGTCTTCCTGCTGAGGCGACAGCAGACTTTCAGAGTAGACTGGAAAGGTGAGTGCTCACAGGGACGCCCTGCGGGAGTTCAGGTCTGCAGTTCACACTGTTCTGAAAGTGGCCTTAACAGAGAACATGAACGGGTCCACCCTCAAGCCAAATGACGTGGCCTCGGTCACCTACAAGGCCCACACCCTGCTGTGGTTCCTCTGCCTCTCAAGTACCTGGGCCTGACCAAGCTGAAGCCAGAGCGCCCCCTCTGCAGTGTCCACTGTGCCCAGGAGGGGCTGTGTAACCACCTGAGTGACGACCGCTGTGCCAGCAGACACACACAGGCTCCCACACGACAGACACGCCCACCTCCAGTGCTCTGTCTGGCCAGGACTAACCCCCGTCCGGCCAGGAGGGTGACGCTGTTTCCCGTCAGCTCACAGGCAGGAGCTGAGCGCTAGGCGGGAGTCAGATGTCGCAGGCAGAGGCCCAGCACGTGGCAACAGAGTCCGGCTTTTCCCGTGCCGTTTGGAAGTGGGACACGACCACGACCAGCTGGCAGCGACGCCCAGGGTGGGCTCCCACCACGGGGTCCCTGACCTTTGTCAAATGAAGGACTTCACTCTTACCACTGGAGACGTGTACGCCTTGTCAGATGCCTTCCCAGGCGCGAGCACACACAGAGGCCGTGCCCACCCGGTCGGGGCTGCGCGGGGCAACTGGTGGGGCAGGTACTGCAGGCACTTGGGGAATCGCCTCACGTTTCAGTCCCGGAGCCCACACACGCTGTTCACGGTCAGAGAAAAACGGAGCACGGACAGCGGTGTCCCAGGCGCTGGCGGCCTCCCAGTCCCCTCCGGCCCGGCGCTGCTCTCCACACTCTTTGAAGTGGACCCACTGCTCTCCTGCCCAGGAAGGAAGCGCCAAGGGCAGCCGCCTCCAGAGGAAGGAGGACCCCTGAGGTGTCCCGACCTCGGTCCAAGTTTCTGGGGAGAATCTTCCCTTCCTTCTGCGGTCGGGATGGTGGGGAAGGGATGGCCGCGCTGCTGTGCTGAAGAACAGCAGAGGAGCCCGCAGGGCCGCTGCCAAAGCCAAGCACCGACCACAGGGCCAGAGCCAACGTGCCAGAGAAGCTGGAGCGACTTCCCACGCTGGAGCAGAAGCTGTCTCAGGGCTGCGGCGTCCCGCGAGGCTGCCCGGCGCTATGAACCAGAGAGGCCGGCTCTCAGCACTCAGAGGCCGCTCCAAAATCGCTTCGAGTTTCACGCACTAATGATGACGCTCTGGCTGTCTCTGCCGTGTTGCCAAACCCCCTGACATTTACATTCCTAGATCAAGCAGACAGTGCCACAAAGTACCAAAACAAAACGTGCCGGTCCACGCTGCCACAAGCCACGCTCAGGTGAACAACAAATGAGAGCAGAGAGAAGCCTGCCACGCAGGGGGCTCATGACTCCTCAGGCCCCAGAGGCGGATGGAGTCTCAGTCCTCCAGTGAGGAATGCACACAGGGACGTCCTCATCAAGAGTGCAGGGCGAAGGGGAAAAGCCGCTTCAGCAGGCAGATGCCAACCAGCACGGCCCCACCAGGCCACCGTCAGACAGACCACTCACGTGGACCTGATGTGCAGGGATGTACATCACAGGCCCCGAGGCTTCAGGGAGCACCACTAACAGCCACGTGCACTCCCACGGGAGCGCTAGACCCCAACATGCCACTTGCGCCTGCGCCGACAGCTCACGGGTGCCTCAGCAAAGTCAGGCCTGTGTGCTGTGGACTGGCCCGGGGCGGAGCCATGTCATGGGTGCCAGTGGCGTCCCCAGGCCTCCTACCTGGCTCTGGTGACACTGTCTGACCTGCTTGTTGAATGAGATGACACACTCGAGTGTAGCTGAGAACTGATGAACCCCCAGCAACCGGACCGGCAGTGCCCACCCCAGCACAGCCACACACAGGGACCCCCCCATCCAGCTGCCCCGATGTCAGCTGCGGCCATCACCGCATGACCCGGCAGGGCCTGGGCTGTGGCGCCAAGTCCAGCACACAGACACCCACGCCTCTGGCCGGGGCACACAGGAGCGAAGGGAGCTATGCTCGGGACAGAGCCCTCGGGCTCCCGGGAGAGCAAGGGGAAGCACACGTGGCCAGACACTCCCACCGCAGCCCAGCCGCCCTGACCACGACGGAAAACACGGGATCCACAGCCCGAGGCGAGCCGGGCCTGCGCCACTCCACCCCGCAGGCTTCCTCCTGGGACGCGGTCCCGGTCCCGACCACACAGCCCAGAGCCCGCTGCTCCTGTCCTCCTTCCCTGCCAGACGCCAGAGCCGTCCTGAGTCTCCACGCAAGCCTGGCTGGCCCATGGTGGGTGGAACCAAGCTGGGTACACAGGAGCCAGTGCAGGCCGGCTTCCAACTAGGCCACAGAGACCACAATCCAGCCTCCTACACATCCACACAGAGCCACACCAGCCTGCTCCACGTCCACACACACCCACACCAGCCTGCTCCATGCCCACACACACCCACACGCCAGCCTCCTCCACATCCACACACACACCACACGTCAGCCTGCTCCACGTCCACACACACACCACACACCAGCCTCCTCCACGTCCACACACACCCACAACAGCCTGCTCCACATCCACACACACCCACACCAGCTGCCTCCACGTCCACACACACCCACACCAGCCTCCTCCACATCCACACACACACACCCCCATACCAGCCTCTTCCACGTCCACACACACCCACACCAGCTTCCTCCACGTCCACACAAACACCACACACCAGCCTCCTCCACGTCCACACAAACACCACACACCAGCCTCCTCCACATCCACACACACCAGCCTCCTCCACGTCCACACACACACCCACACCAGCCTCCTCCACATTCACACACACCCCCCACACCAGTCTCCTCCACATCCACACACACACACCATATCAGCCTCCTCCACGTCCACACCCCCCCACACCAGCCTCCTATACGTCCACACACACACAACCCACACCAGACTCCTACACGCCACACACACACCCCACACCAGCCTCCTACATATCCACATACACCCACACCAGCCTCCTACATGTCCACAAACACCATGTCCACATTAGCCACCTACACGTCCACACACACACACACCCCACACCGGCCTCCTACACATCCACACACACATCCCACACCAGCATCCTACACGTCCACACACACACACACACCAGCCTTCTACATGTTCACATACACACCCCACACCAGCCTCCTCCATGTCCACACACACCACACACCAGCTTCATCCACATCCACACACACCCACACCAGCCTCCTACACGTCCACACACACACACACCAGCCTGCTCCATGTCCACACACACCCACACCAGCCTCCTCCACGTCCACACACACATACACACACCAGCCTCCTACATATCTACAAACACCACGTCCACACTAGCCACCTACACGTCCACACACACACACCCCACACCGGCCTCCTACACGTACACACACACACCCCACACCAGCCTCCTACATATCTACAAACACCACGTCCACACTAGCCACCTACACGTCCACACACACACACCCCACACCGGCCTCCTACACGTACACACACACATCCCACACCAGCATCCTACATGTCCACACACACACCCCACACCAGCCTCCTCCACGTCCACACACACATACGTACACCAGCCTCGTACACGTCCACACACACACAACCAGCTTCCTACACGTCCACACACGCACACCCACATCAGCCTCCTACACATCCACGCACACACACACATCATCCTCCGCCAAGTCCACACACACCACCCACACCAGCCTCCTACATGTCCACACACACATCCACACCAGCTTCCTACACATCCACACACACACCCACACCAGCCTCCTCCACGTCCACACACACCCCCCCACACCAGCCTCCTCCGTGTCCACACACATCCACACCAGCCTCCTACACGTCCACACACACCCACACCAGCCTCCTCCACGTCCACACACACACCCCACACCAGCCTCCTCCACGTCCACACACACACCCCACACCAGCCTCCTCCACGTCCACACACACACCCCACACCAGCCTCCTCCACGTCCACACACACACAGCCACACCAGCCTCCTCCATGTCCACACACACACCCTACACCCCACACCAGCCTCCTCCACGTCCACACACACACACACCCACATCGGCCTCCTCCACGTCCACACAAACACGGAGCCGCTGCTTTTGCCTCCCTCTCCCAGTGCTGTGCCTCCAGCCCGCTAGCAACGCAGTCCCTTACACAAGGTTGAGCCACTGCAAAGAGTTGGGGTTTAACCCGAGGAAGAACAGCTGCTCTGGCTGGTGGACTGGCCGCTCTGCCTCGGCCTGAGTAAGATGAGGACACCCTCCTGAGTGACAGAAGCCCTGATCCCCAAGCACCCGCTCCTCCTACTCACCAGATCTGGCCCACATTGACCAGGGACGTGTAGAGGCCCCAGAGGGCCGCCATGAGAAGCATGTTGGCGCAGCCCGTGATCAGGACGAAGGCTGAGACGCCCAGTCCCAGGAGAGCCAGCAGGTCCAGGTTGGAGTTCATGTCTGACCAGTCCATCAGCCAGAGGACGGTGGGTGCATAGCTGAGGGCTTCCCAGCCCACCCTGCCCTGGAAGTACTGCTGGACGCTCCTCAGGTATGCTCTGCAGGGGAGAAGCCCCCTGTCTCCAATCAGCTGCTTGTTCTGATGGAAAGCCACCAGGAACGCCACAACTGGAAGAAAAAGAAGACCAAATGAGCGTGACTATGAACAAAACGTGTGGACCCCATGGGCGCTGCTCAGACGTGCAGGGCGGGGCGGGGCGGGAAGGGGAGGTGCCGGCTGGCCGACGGTTTGGGGTTCAAACCTCAGACTCAAGAGTCTGAGTACTTTCTCACAACCTTGGGGGAAATGCTGGAAAAGCCAACCTGCAGAAGACGCAGTGTGTGTGTATATGCAAACACGTGTGAGTAAACCAGACGTGTTCATGTGAAATCCATGCCTGCTGCGCACAGACAGCTGGCTGACCACCTGCCCTGTGGGCAGCATTCCTCACGATGAAACGCACCCCGCTGACCCAGGCTACGGTCAGTGGTGTCTCTCCCAGCACACTCCACAGGGCTCGGTGGCTACTGCCTGCAGGTAAGCCACACGCACCCTCCACGAAAACCACAGGCCTCTGGTTTCACGTCCAACAGTGCCCACCCCCACAACAGCACCTTCATCCTCAGTGTCTGCGGAACGCTGAGCGTCCACCCAGAGACGCCGACAGGGAGAGCACCGCGTGCCCGTGTGCAAAGGTGAAGAATGAAGGAGTAGGCTAAAAGTAAAAAACACATACCACCCAAGTGTGAGCCCCAGCCTGACCTAGTTCATGATGGCTACAAAACGTGTAACAACAAAGAAAAGAAAGCTGGAGTGGCTCTGTAACATCACAGAAAGTAGACGTGGCCAGGTGCGGTGGCTCACACCTGTAATCCCAGCACTTTGGGAGGCCTGAGGTCAAAGAGTTTGAGACCAGCCTGACCAACAAGGCGAAACCCCGTTTCTACTAAAAATACAAAGATTAGCTGAGTGTGGTGGCACACGCCTGTAGTCCCGGCTACTTTGCTGGCTGAGGCAGGAGAACCACTTGAACCCAGAAGGCAGAGGTTGCAGTGAGCCGAGATTGTGCCACTGCACTCCAGTCTGGGCGACAGAGTGAGACTCCATTTCAAAAAAAAAAAAAAGTAGATTTAAGAATAAGGAAGGACACAGGGATAAAGGAATATATTGCATAATGATACATAAAAATCACAAGAGCGAGCCCAAAGTACACGTGGCCTCCTACTGCGTGCAGGAAGCTGGTTTGGGGTCAGTGTCCGTGTAGCTGTGCATGCTGGTTTGGGGTGAGAGTCTGCATAGACACGTAGGAAGCTGGCACTTATACTTCTCCCATGCATTTATAAATCTAAAAAATGTAAACAGAGTCTGCATACGGAAAACTACAAACCACCGATCAAAAAAAAACCCAAACAAGATCCAAACCTATGAAGAGACAGACCATCTTCATGCACTGGAAGGATCAAAATCATTAAGTGTCCATTTTATTCATAAATTCAGCACAATCTGAACCAAAGCACCCAGTGTGTGCTTCTGCAGACACTGATAAGCTGATTCTAGAAGGTACACGGGAGGGCAAAGGCACCAAAATAGTCAGAATCATCTGGAAAAGAACAGAGGTGAGAACTCATGTTACCCAGTTTCAAGACTCAGTAAAAAGCTAATGGAGACCACATGAATACAGCATAGTGTTGGTTAAGAAGGGCCACAGAACTCAGTGGAATGGAAGAGGGGGCCCAGACACAGACCCCCCACCCCCGGCGCCCAACCCAACACGCAGAGTGAACACATGCTGACAAAGGTTCGAAGACAACTCCACAGAGAAAGAACAGCCTTGGGCCGGGAGCGGTGGCCCACGCCTGTCAGCCCAGCACTTTGGGAGGCCAAGGCAGGAGGACTGCTTGAGCCCAGGAGTTCCATAGCAGCCCGGGCAACGGCGTGAGATCCAGTCTCTACAAAATACTTAAAACACAAACCAAAGTCTCTGACAGTGATGCAGGAACAAATAGATGTCCACATGGAAGAAGACGGGCCTGCACACACTTCACAGCGTACACAAAAGCCAGCTGACAAAGGATCGCAGGCCTAAACGTGAAGCACGGGAGCGCGAGGCTTCCAGACGGAAGCGCAGCGGAAACTCCGTGGCGGGCCTGGCAGCCAGTCCTCAGAGGCGACACCAGAGGCATCATCTGGGAGAGAAAACTGTCAACCGAACTTATCAAAATGAAGAACTTCTGTCTGCAAAACCTGGTTTTCACAGAGTGAAGCAACAAGCCACAGAAGGGAAGAAAGTACTGGCAAATCACACTTCGGATAAAGGATTTGTATCTAGAATATTCAAAGTGCTCTTAACCTCGATCGTTAGAAGACAAACAGCCCAGGGTTAAGGGTGGGAAGAAGAGACACAGGCCACAGACCTCAACGGACATGGCAGCAGTCTGCTTCTCACAGGACAAGGGGTCCAGACAGCACATAATGTAAAAAGGCGCTCAGCGTCATGCGTCACGGGGAAATGCCGGCTAAAACCACCATGTGACGTCACCACACGTGTCCCTGTGGCCAGAGTGATTAAAAACGGACAGTGTCCCACGCTCTGGAAGGTTCTGGACAGCACGGGTGCCCTCGCTGTGCTGGGGATGCCTGTGGCATGCCGCCGTGGATGGCCGGCAGGTAACGTCTCACCCAGGGAATGAAGGGTGGCCTTACAGCCCAGCCACTGAGCCTCTCAGGCTCCACCTGGAAACGCGTTCACACCGAAGCCTCGTGCAGATGCTCACAGCAGCTCTGCTCATCGTCACTAAAAGCCAGAAACGAGGAAGACGTCCTTCAAAGTGGACGCAGATAAATCACCGGGGGAGCACTGGGGCCACAGAGGAACACTCCCAGGTAAGAATGCAGGAGCTGCTGGTTCAGGCAACGAGCTGGATGGATGCAAGTGCATGCTGCTAAGTAAAAGCATCCAGACCCAACAGGCTACGCGCTGTGTGAGGCCATTCGTACGTCACGCTGGAAAAGGTGAAACCGGAGGGATGGAAGACACACCCGGGCATGCCAAGGGCTGCTGGGGGTAGTGGTCACCCCCATGCACGGGGGACTTGGGGGCTGAAGCTGGGGGATAGAGCTCTCGATGCACTTGGCAAGCCCACAGCACTGAGCATTACACGAGATCAACTTTGACGCACACAAAGTACTGGGGAAAGACCCAACCAACAGGTCGGGGGACGCAGATGGAGTGCAGGCTCCACACGCACAAAGGTGAGTCAGACCACACCGACCAGAGGGCAGGAGCCGCCTGAGCAGCCCCAGAAACTGGTCTGAGCGAAGACACAGCACACAGAAGCTGTACACAAACGCTGCACGCCAGCACTCTTCCCGGGGCCTGGGTGGACAGTCTGTGCACATGCACCAGGGCTGAGGAAACGCTAGAGGAGTAGGGGGAGCCAGGTTCTCACTGGCAGAGTGGGAGGATTCAGATGAGCCAGAAGGGAAGGCTGCATACGCTGTATGCCAGGTGACAGTCAGAGACAGAGGCATGGACCAGGTTCACCGTCATACACTTACAGATGGGTGGATACGACAGAGAAACAACCACGTCTGCGATATGAGGCAGTGACAGAGCACAGCTCTGCCCAGCAAGAGGGCTAGCCGCCGTGACTCCCCAGTAGCAACGGCCCTCGCAGAGCCCGGATCAGAGTTTCTATGCTCCCCTAAAAAGAACCAGGGTTCCCTAGAGAAACAGCTGATTCTAGGGCTGGGCAGGGAAACAGAAGCTGGGCCGGCAGCATCCGGAAAGCTGGGAGGGCTCAAGTAAAAGAGGCACGCGAAAGACGCAGGAAGTACGGAGAGACACCACGGCCAAAGCCGGAGAGCTGAGCAGCAAACTCACAGTGATGACACGGGATCACAACCCGGACACAGACTCACAGTGACGACACTGGATCACAACCTGGACACAGACTCACAGTGACAATACCGGATTAAAACCTGGACACGGACTCACAGTGACGACACCAATCGCACCCTGGACACGGACTCACAGTGATGACACTGGATCACAACCCAGACACAGACTCACAGTGACAACACCGGATCACAACGCGGACACAGGCTCACAGCGACACTGGGTCACAACCCGGACACAGACTCACAGTGAAGAAACTGGATCACAACCCAGACACGGACTCACAGTGACGAAACCAATCACAACCCAGACATGGACTCACAGTGACAACGCCAGATCACAACCCGGACACGGACTCACAGTGATGACGCCAGATCACAACCCAGACACGGACTCACAGCGATGACACCGGATCACATCCCAGACATGGACAGACTCACAGTGACGATGCCGGATCACAACCCAGACACGGACTCACAGTGACAAAACCAATCACAGCCGAGACACGGAATCACAGTGACGACACCGGATCACAACCCGGACACGGACTCACAGCGACGACACCGGATCACAACCCGGACATGGACAGACTCACAGTGACGATGCTGGATCACAACCCAGACACGGACGGACTCACAGTGACGACGCCGGATCACAACCCGGACACGGACTCACAGTGACAAAACCAATCACAACCCGGACACAGACTCACAGTGACGACGCCGGATCACAACCCGGACACGGACTCACAGCGACGACGCTGGATCACGACCCGGACACAGACTCACAGTAACGACACCAGATCACAACACAGACACAGACTCACCCTGACGACACTGGATTACAACCCAGACACGAACTCACAGTCACAACACTGGATCACAATCCGGACACGGACTCACAGTGACAACACCGGATCACAACACACGGACACGGATTCACAGCGACAACACTGGATCACAACCCGGACACTGACTCAGAGTCACAACACTGGATCACAGTCCAGACACAACTCACAGTGATGGTGCTGTATTACCCACCAGAGTGAAAATAAATGGGCATGGGTCCATAGTGTCAAAACAAATGACCACAAACAGGTAACACGATCTCCTTCTCAGAGGGATTCCACATAACGTCCGCAGACAGTAATCCTGGAAGGCAGGGTCTGGACTCAGTGACTGGCACCAGAGGACAGAGTGAGCAGGAAACCAGGGACTTCATAGAGGGGAC